TACCATCAGATCGACATTGGAGTGGTCTGTAGGTTTTGATTAATGACATTGCCTCTGTTTGTTCAGCTAATCCATTCAGTGCAATTTGAGACTTACCTTCATCTATGGCTAACTGAAAATAACACCATTGAACAATTTGTAGACTGGTTCATACTGTGCAAATATTATGATTTACATGCCACATGGGTTATGTTTATCAAAGATTTCTACATGTGCTGTTATGTTTGTTACAACTAATGGTATCCTTGCAGACCTTGGTTCTAGAATCGATCAGAAATTGTTCCTCTCTTTATGTACAATGGGTCTGATTATTTCAGATTTTATTACAAAGTACATTGTCGCTTCAAAAAAAAAATTAAATTACATTGGTTTCGCGTTTTAGGTTTGCTCTTTCCTAGAAGGGATAAGGCTGTCTCCGACATAGCTTTACGCATTGTAGCTAGCATGAAGCGAGATTGGATGCAGGCTGGTGTTCCTTACTACATTTTTCTTCCCTATATCTTTCACAAGGCTGTGATAAGCTTACTAGCTTAGCCTCTCTTGCAGACTGGGAGGAAGCTTAGTGGACTATGTGGTGTAGCATTATATATTGCTGCACTCTCTCACGGATATAACTACACTAAGGCATATATTGTAAGTCCAGATGTTCATGAGATATTTTGAACTTATTCATCAACTTGTATTGTAAATGGCTAAACGGGCGATTAGGAAAACACTGTGTATACCTGTGTTTTTTTTGTCTGTTTGAGATAGGCATATGGTTGAGTATTATAGTAACGACATTGATTATATTTTTTGTTTCTCAGGTTTATGTTGTGCATGTGTGTGAAGCCACTCTATTGAAGCAATTGATAGAGTTTGAAAATACAGATTCTGGGAGCTTAACGGTATGCTTCTTTCTTCGATGGAATTTCCAAATTTGAATAACCTAAAATTTATAACATCCAATAGAAATTCCTTGTGATATTGTGCAATTATTCTTTTCACACTGGCAGTTAACTCCTGCAGTGCTGTTCTCGTGAGAACAAGAGTCTTTTGTTTGTAAGCTGCCGAACAAGAGTCCAAGGAGACTCTGAATTCTTAGGTTTATTTATTATGCTTGATTACAATCAATCTTCTGAACTCTATTAGAGACGTTGCTGACTTCCTGGATAGCAAGCTTGCTGCTTCTCCTCTCACATCCCATCTGAAACAAACTCTGAAATGACTAAAACAAACAAACACATTCTAGCAACTCAACTAGGACATCACCTCCATTTTTCCACGTGCATACTTCTTTCCTATGAATTATATTTTTGTATATGGTAAGAATTAGGTCTCATGAGTTGAATTATATATTTGTATATGATAAGAATTAGGTCTCATGATAATGTTTGAAATTCTAGTTTTCGAGTAAAAAAACTTAGATGATACTGGTTCTTTCTAGGCCAGTAACTTCAAGCAGCCATTATTCTGCCATGTGTTTTTGATTTTTCATTTATAAATTCATAATTTCTAATGGAAAGTTCATAATTTTAGTTTGGCCATTACCTAGCTTTATCCCTTTCAAGAGACAGTTTGAATTAAGAAAACAGATTGTATTGCAATGCTCTTGGGTTGGCATTTATTGTGGATTTGCAACCCTTATCATGGTGTAATACACAAGTACTAACCTTGGCAGACAATAATAGTACTAACCTCTATTTACACAGTTATTTCAGTTTCACCACAAATTCACACAATTATTTCAGTTTAACTAGAAAAAGAACTATAAGTGCATGCTATGTTCTTCCTCAGTAACCCATCACTGTAGGAATTGAGGTGAAGGGGATAAATGTAGGCGAAGGGTTGGGGCATACCAAGGGGTATGGCAGCAGTCAAAGCTTGAGGTCGGAGAGGGAGCACCGGGGGAGGTCGAGGTCGCTGAGGGAGCGCCGTGAGAGGTCAGAGCACGTGGGCCGGCGATGTCGTCGGAGATAGAGGTTGGTGAGGGAGCGCCGGTGGCAGAGCCAGAGTGCACGGCCAGGCTAGAGAGCACAAATCGTAGCCCCCGCGAGGTCGTCAGAGTGTGTGCGCGAGCTGGCGAGGTCAGAGCTCTAGGTTGTTGAGGGATCTGCGACAGTGGCGGGGATGGTAGCCAGAGCGTACGGCCGAGCTGGGGGAGCACAAACCCTAGCCCCCGGTGAGGTCGTCAGAGCGCGTGCACGGGTCAGCGAGGTCAGAGGTCAAGGTCTCGAGACCGAGCGGCGTGGCGAGGCGTGCCTGCCGTCTGAGAAGCTCGCAAACCCTAGCCGCCATGGCGGCCTAGGGAAAGGCGGCGTTTGGGGCACGGAGGAGGCCTGGGGGACGGAGGCAGTTATGGGAGGAAGGCGACGGTAGGCCACGGAGATGGTGGCGGCGGCGGGGGTGGCGGGAGAATTTTTGGCAACCTGACTGCGTCCGCGAGAAAGAAGACGCCCAAGACTTGGTGAGATTTTGGTCAGGCGCGGGCTCTGGAATATACACCCAGAGTCATTTGTAGGGCCAGCTCTAAAGACCATCCGCCCCTACAAATGCATTTGTAGGGGCGGTTTCTGATTCAGCCGCCCCTACAAATATTTTCGCATATTTTTAAGTATTACTTCTACATATTTTTTATAAATGTGTAAATGTATATATAAATGTATAAATATAATAAAAATAATTTGCTATATTTTCCCGTACACATAAAAAATTACTTGCTTATATATATAGATACAATGATACATTTTATTTTGTAAAATAAAAAATATTTAAAAAATTTAAATTTTGAATTTGTGAACTTCGAATTGAATTTTAAGACAAAAAATGATCTAAAATGAAAATATTGTAGACATCAAAGTTATAGAACTCATCAACATGTACAACTTATATTTTGGTCATCTTTTCATTTGACAAAATTTGAAAAGCTCAAATTTTGAATTTCAATAAATGGCAACTTCAAATAAGATTTTGAAACCTTAAATGATTTTAAATAAGAAAGTCATGAACATAAAAGTTATTGAACACATCACTATCTACAACTTTTATTTTGGTCATCTTTTCATTTGACTAAATTTGACAGTTTAAATTTTGAATTTTAATAAATGGCAACTTAAAACAAGATTTTGAAATCTTAAATGATTTTAACTAGAAAAGTCATGAACATAAAGGTTTTTGAACTCATCACTATCTACAACTTTTATTTTAATCATTTCTTCATTTAACAAAGTGTTAGTAAATATTGTTCACAAATTCACATATCACTCATAGTTTCATAAACTATACGAGAGACATGTTGATTTGTGAATAATGTTTACTATCACTTTGTCAGATGAAGAAATCATCAAAATAAAAGTTGTAGATTTTGATGAGTTATACAACTTTGGTATTCATCATTTTTTCAGCTAAAATAATTTGGTGTTTCAAAATCTCGTTAGAATTTGTTATTTTTTTAAATTTGAAAATTTGAATTTCTCAAACTTTATCAAACGGAAAGAATGACCAAATCAATACAGTAACTTGATAGGGCATGATTTTAGAAAATTTTAGGAAAAAAATCATCATATTTGGAGTTAGTACGAGAGAGAAAGACTAGTTACAAATTTTATCCAGAGATTAAAAAAAATCACAACTGTTCATGATGATCAACGATGAACAAGTGTGATTTCTCTTTTTAAACTGTGGCTGAAACTTGTAACTAGTTTTTCTCCCTCGTACTAACTCCAAATGTGATGGTTGTTTTTTGTAAAATTTTCTAAAATCATGCCCTATCAAGTTACTATATTGATTTGGTCATTCTTTTCGTTTGATAAAATTTGAGCAATTTAAATTTTCAAATTTAAAAAAATAACAAGTTCTAACAAGATTTTGAAACACCAAAAGATTTCAGCTAAAAAAGTGATGAATACCAAAGTTGTATAACTCATTAAGATCTAGAACTTTTGCTTTGACTATTTCTTCATCTGACAAAGTGATAATAAACATTATTCATAAATCAACATGTCTCTCGTATAGTTTATAAAACTATGAGTGATATGTGGATTTGTGAACAATGTTTACTAACACTTTATTAAATGAAAAAATGATCAAAATAAAAGTTGTAGATAGTGATGAGTTCAACAACTTTTATGTTCATGACTTTTCTAGTTAAAATTATTTAAGGTTTCAAAATCTTGTTTGAAGTTACCATTTATTAAAATTCAAAATTTGAACTGTTCAAATTTAGTCAAATGAAAAGATGACCAAAATAAAAGTTGTAGATAGTGATGTGTTCAACAACTTTTATGTTCATAACTTTCTTATTTAAAATCATTTAAGGTTTCAAAATCTTGTTTAAAGTTGCCATTTATTGAAATTCTAAATTTGAACTTTTCAAATTTTGTCAAATGAAAAGATGACCAAAATATAAGTTGTACATCTTAATGACTTCTACAACATTTTCATTTTAGATCATTTTTTGTCTTAAAATTCAATTCGAAGTTCACAAATTCAAATTTTAAAATTTTAAAATATATTTTTATTTTACAAAATAAAATGTATCATTATATTATATCTATATATATAAGCAAGTAAGTTTTTATGTGTACGAGAAAATATAGCAAATTATTTTAATTGCATTTATACATTTATATATACATTTACACATTTATAAAAAAAATATGTAGAAGTAATATTTAAAAATATGCGAAAATATTTGTAGGGTCTGAATCGTAAACCACCCCTACAAATCGTAACACCTGGGGTGGTTTGGTGAGTGAGCCGCCTACAAATCGATTAATTTATAGGGGCGGCTCAGATCATCACCGCCCTACTATGCCATTGTAGGTGGCTGGTCTCGAGGTCCCGAAAGCACGCCCATTGTAGAGGCGCCTCCATTCCCCGCCACCCCTAAAAAAAATAAAGCCCTTGCTACAAACTTTTTCTGTAGTAGTGGGCGCTCTGCTCAAGCACAGCTCCTCCCCGTCCCCGACGGTATAGCTAGTTCGTAGTAATACACACACACCTTCAGATGATGCACATCGATGGATCCAACACACAAGCTAGTGTATGTACATCAGGTCACTGTGGAAACCCTAGCAGGGCCAGGGCAGCACGGGTTCGTCATCAACGTGTTGTCTGACGAGAGCTGCCCCGGGCTGCTTGTTTCTATCCTGGAGGCGTTTGATGAGATGGGCCTCAGCCTACTCCCAGCCACGGGAGAGGTAATCATGCATGCCGTGCCGGTGCTCATCGTGTTCAGTACTGTGATGATGCATATATATACCCACTGAAACTAATAATGCGATAGATGCAGAACCAGGTGGATAATGTGGATGAGCATGTCGTGAAGCAAGCCGTGCTCCAGGCCATCAGGACCTGCTCATCACAAGGCTGTCGCCAACAACAAGAGTAGCTAGCGCTACTAGCTAGCTAGCTAGCGCCAAGATCTTCTCTCTTGATGCTCTGTTACGTACGTTGTATTGTCCATGATGATCTGAAGAAACAACAAGCTAAGTCTTCAGAGCATCTGTAGCATATAATTAATCTCCCATGTACTATTCATTAATTGGCACTATATGCACTGCACGTAGGGCAACATGTCACGATGTATGATGTTCCTTTGTTGTACTACTTCAGATCATGAGCCATGACTAATAAATAATATATATATCACCATGCATTCCAGATTTTTCCCTCAGCTCGTGGTCAATTACTATGAAGTTATAAGAGACTTCTCAACTGACGTACTCTGAATTCCCCGTTTTAAATTATAAGACGTTTCGGTTTTTCTACATACGTGGCTTTTTGGTATGCACTTAGATATATATAGTCAAAACACCTTACAATCTGAAATGGAGAGAGCGAGTTCTAAACTACTCACACGCGCTTCGCAAAGTAATATGACCACGACGATTGTGATAGGTGCAGATAGAAAAGAACACTGTGCATGCAATCATGGGAGCATCCATGCATACATTCTCTTGCTTATATATACACCACTGACAAGTAACCAAGAGCCGAGCGGCACTATATATACATGCAACAAGCAGACACACTGCTACTAGTACTGTTCCCTGATAGAGCCATGTCAACGGCACTATATATCGAGATGTGCATGCATGATTGAGTGTTCCCTGATTGTTCGAGGACCATTTAAGATCTGGTACTAGTAGTAGCTTATCCCAGAAGGCTAGAACCCAGAGCACGCAGTAAGTAACCGGGATACTGTGCATCAGATAAAGTAACAGAAATGCTATATGACACACATGTGTTTTGTTGTTTGTTGGCACATGAATTTTGTGTCCGTTGGATGGGTATCGTGTGCTTGTGCTTGCCACCGCCGTTTGTTTCTCTGTGTTGTGGGTTCCGATTACCAGTGCTACTGTTCAATTTCTTTTGGACTCCGCGCCTGATTTTGTGTCGTCCGTTTCCCCCTTTTCCCATTCTCATTTCGTTTCGGCTTCCTCCCGTTGACTCCCGGCACGCTCGACGCCCGCTACGAGGCCACGCGCGCCCGCGTGGAGGGCGTCCGGTTCGCGCAGGTGGGCGTGGACCTGGCTAGCCCCCACGGCGGCCTGGCGCTGGTCCACGTGTGGCAGTTCCACCTGGGCGACCGGTTAGACTCGGAGGACGCGCGCTTCCTCACGGCCGTCGGCGTGGATCCCCTGCGCGGCGCGCTGACCCTGGCCGCCTGTGCAGGGTGCTCAGGGCCTGGCGCCGCTCCCCGGCACGGCGAGCTGCGGTTTCTAGGGTTTCGCGAGCTAAGTTCTTCATGCCCCCTTCTTTGCGATATGTTCCATGGATGCTTGGGTTTGTTTGTTGCCTTATTCAATGTGTGTGTTGATGTTTAATGCCTTTGCCCTCGTTTCAGATCTGGTTTGTGTGTCTGCTCGTATGCGATTTTTGTGTTGTGTTGTTCGTTGTCTAGGGTTTTCCCCTTAGGTGATGCGGGATCCGAGTTCCCGTATTCTTCAGTTTGTGCTTAGGTTTTTTGCCCCATTTTTTGATTCGTTGGCGGATGGTGTTGTCTCTGCAGGGTAGTCTGTATAGCTTTTAGGAGTTGACGATTGTTGTTGGTTCATTGTCTTATGATTGTTGTTCACATGATTTGTGGTTTGAATGGTTCGATTGATGCAGAGGTAGATGATACGTTATTGTTGTTGATTGTATCTTTGTTTTTTTCGATGCAGAGTGGTATTTATAATTGTTTTTGGATAGTGAAAATGTGGTGTTGATTTTTAAGGCAGTTTAATTTGTGAGAAGAGCTCGGTTCTACAAAATTAATTATGAGTTTGTGTCCCGCTGTAATGCTCATTGCAGAATAATTTTTGTAGTAGACATTTTTTAGCTGCATGTTGTTTTTCTATGATGATAATTGCCTCTTACCCCTTTATGAGATTTTAGTTTCATTGTTCTTTTTTAGTTAATTTTTCAGTGCTCATTTATTTTTACTTATAGTGCTCATTTCAAAGGTTTTTTTTTGTAAATGTGAACTACCTGATTTTTTATGTACCTGATTTTTTTGATGCTACCTGATACTTGAATGCTACTAGTTACTGCATTTATCTGTTTTAGTTTTAGTTAAATTCCAGTTACATGATACTTGACATCTGAATGCTATCTGATGTACTGTTAAGTTTAGTTACCTGATGTATTGTTAAGTTTGAGATACTTGAATGCTGCATGTGAGAGTTATCTGAATCCCTACAGTCATTCCACTACCGTTTTCGATGAATTTAATGCTAAGTCTGTGTGAGTGTCAACTAGAGAAGTACGTTTGTGCTCTTTCTTTCCATGTGTATGTGTGCTCTCTTGAGCTTTGTTTTACAAATATGGTAGGCTGTATAGTTGATTCATTGTTTTGTCGTTTTCTTTTGTAGATGTTTTGGCTCGGATTATTGGGTGGATGTAGAGGTAGATGACATGTTTTGCTACTGTTAGAGAATTTTGATAGTATATATTGATTTTTTGTCATTTTTAGGTAATCATGGCTGCTAGGAGCAAATGTTTTCGTGTTGTAGATGACAGTACTCGAGCAGAACATGGTCATGAAGGACATGAACCTAGAAGCGTGCGTCGTACATCAGCAGTAGTTATATAATTTTTTTTGATTTATATGTGTTCCTCTGTTTTTTTAGGCCTTCATTTCTACTACAAATATAAATTTGTTGGCGCAATTTGTTGAGTTTTGCAAATCCAAGGTATCATTTCTACTGCTGATGTATGTTTTTTTGGCTTGTGCAAATAAATTATTGTTTGTCCGTGAATAAATTCAGTTAATGTTTAATTAACTCCTTAAACTGACACATAATTAAGAAACTGTCTGAGTCACCAAGATTTCAAGGTTTCAGTTTTGCATGTTGCATGCACTAAATAATTTTTAGAGCTCTTGAAAATTCATATTTCTTCTGTAACTAGGATGTCTGGCGCATGGCTGATATCTTCGATTGAATTAGTTTGCTTAGATTTTAATTAGTTGAGGCTGCACTAAATCTCGGAGTCTTGATTAGCTGTCTTGTGCATGCACATGGCCACACTAAATTAGCTAGTTCCCATGTGTCTACAAGTGTGTGTATGTGTCTGGCTGTCAGCAATCTCACACCTTAGCCCAGCCCGTTTGAGAGGTACCAGACCAGATGCTTGTAATAAGAGGCACATCATCCACACCTGTCTTTTTTTGTGCGATTTGATGGCTACGCTCATGGGATTGTTTTGCTTACTATATATGTATCCATCTACATATTTATTTGCGTAGAGCTGATGAAACCTAGTGACTACATCTGCATATGCCGGCTGTATTGGTGAACTATTAACCAAGCTACAATAATCTATGATTTAAGTTTGTGGTGTGAGATTGAGTTATATACTTGACACAGGTTTCATATGTGTATGGCTAGTGTCTGTTTCGGTTGTTTGGGAAGTATGGTTATTGTGTACCTTGAATGTACCTGGTAATACTCAGATATGCAAGTTTAGGCTAGTTTCATCTAATGTGAGCCACGCAAGGCGTGCAACATGCCTTTTCTGTTGTGGTGGTGATGGTATAGAAGTTTGCTGAGTCATGTTGTTTGCTTCACTTGGTTCCAGTAAAGCGCAGTTCGTTACACTAGACTATGATCTATTTGGTTGGGTACAGTTCAATTTACAAGCTGGCTTAGGCTTTCGTTTGCAGCTATGGTTCAACTTCGTTGTGTGAATTTTTGTTCTAAAAATTGTTTCAATTTTCACTTTTCAGGATTTTAGCAGATAGTTTAGTTATCTTCATAGTTTTCATTTTCTGAATTTTGTTTAGTTAGTTCAGTTTGTCATTGCATCACTTTAACTGCATTATAAATTTAGGTTAGTTCAATAAATTTAGGTTAGTTCAATTTAGTATAATCTATTTTTTAGTTTTAGTTTTGTTCAAGTTCAGGTTAAGTTTAGTATACTTTATTTTTCATTATAAATTCAGTTCAAGTCCAGTGGAATTAATTATCAGTTCTACTTTAGGTTCAATTTTTTTAGAATTTAGGTTGAGTACCATCGAATTTTATTGAACTGCATTAGAGTTTGGCTGTTATGTATTTCAGTTTTCTTGCGATTCAGTGTTAAATCTAGGTTCAGTTAAGTAGAATCTATTTTTAGTTTTAGTTCAGTTTTATTTTCATGTTAAGTTTAGTAGAACCTATTTTTAGTTTTTGTTCAGTTCAAGTCCAATAGTTTTTTCTCTGTCTTTGTCTCTGTCTCTTTATTTATTTTTAGTTATCAGTTTCAATCATGTTTGTGAGGTTTAGTTTAGTTTTGTAACCTGCATTAGAGTTTCAGTGAATTAAATTTTAGTTTTTTCGTGTAGCCAAAGTTTGGGTCTCTATGTTGTAGTCTATGTTCAGGTTCAATCACGTAGAATCTAGGTTCTCGGCTTCAGTATTTGAGTCTCAGGCTTATTATAGTTGTGCCCATATCTACTACATTATTTTTTTATTTCGGTTTCAAGTTCAGGATTGTTATCAGTTCAGTTTTTATTTTTTTCAGTTTTATAATTCAAGGTTTCTAGTTCCTAGACTTTAGTTTCAAGTTCAAGATTGTTTTTAGTTGAGTTTTAGTTAATTTTTTATCTTTAATTGCACCAAGGCGGTCTTCATTTTTTTCAGTATCCTAGTTTCAGTTTAAGTAACTCAGCTCCATCATATTTCAGTTACTAAGTTTTAGTAAATTCGTGCAGCAGCTGTAGGTTGCCTTAGTCTGAAGCAATGCTGCCTGATTGCTTGATTCAGTGAGTGGAACTAGTTGTAGTTCGGCAGTAGTAGCAGTGGCATTTTGGTATTGCAGAGACAATACCTCACTCTATCTTACATGTTTTGCATTGTCACTCCTAGCAAGTCAATGTGTATTCAGTTTATGAGCCATGCCATTTTCATACTATATTTCCATATT